CGAACACTACCCTCTCTCTTCCTCCTCTCGCGTTTTCCTTGAACGCGAGCCTGTCACTGCATGCGGGCTGTAATAAACATTCAGTCGCGCACCGGTGGCTCTCACGCGCACCTCCGTCCTTGTTTAGCATACTTGCACGCCGTTCTACACCGTCCATTTCGTATTCCGAGTAGGAAGCAGTCACTTTACTTATACGAACGTGACTTGCAAATCGAGCAATGTTACCGCATAAATAAGCGCGTAGCCAACACTTCGGTGTCCTACAGTCTAAGAAAAAAAAATTGCAGGCTTGCGCGAAACACAACCGCACAGTCACAGCGAAAGTTGAAAAAGCTGTCTTTCAAGAAATCATCACAGACTCTTTTGCGGCAATACAAGTAAACATGAAACGTACCCACTACCAGGAATCATCGCAACTTCCAAGAAGTAGAGAAGCACCCAGCACGGCATTATTCAACATTCTACGGATTATGTGTGTCTTTTTTTCTTTCTCTTCTGTTTTTCTTTTTGTCCTCTTTGTCACTTCACACATTTCAGGGTAGCAGACCGGTCTTGCATCTGTTTAACTTTACTCAGATGGTATCCGCTACACATCTGTAAAGCGTTTTGTGCACTTCGTTGAGACTGTGACTCATGACGATGAAGAATTATGGTTTAGTCCTTTGTAATGCGTTAGAAACATTCAACGACCCACTCATCATGAAGTTCAGCTCGTTGTACGTTTGGCTGTTATTTCACTTTTTACGACACTATAATTCATACCTTAAAACTATTCCTTGCCGGACGCGACACCAATATAGAAGACTGTAGGCTTGGACGTGTTGGTACAATGTGATTATGAGTGCAAACCATGCACAAGCGACAGAAGGGGACAGATGAGAGGACGCAGAGAGCTGAAGACATAACTGCGCTCTGTGTCTTTCTTCCCTCCTGTCAGTTAGCGCTAATTTGCACTGATAACCTGTATAGTATATTTTTCGCGAAGAAGTTTCAAGCACCAGCTGTGGTAGAATACTCGAGTGAAGTGCCACTTGTAGGACCAGGTTTGTGATCGCACTAGTTTCTAGAATAATCTTTTTCATTTTATTCTATTTTGCGCGATAGTGGTCGTGGACCTCGGCGGCGGTGGCGGACAACCTCCCACTGCTGTTGTGATCTGATAACAGCTTTCTCAGCAAAGAGTGCATGCAACTCTTTCCGGTGCGTTTTCACTAGCCACGTGTATCACTCTTTCAGAGAGGACACGTAAGCTTTCCTCTTAGTCCCACTACAGTCCGATGAAAGTACTGAGTCCCATACGAAGCAAGTCACGACCACAAAAAAAAAAAAAAAAGCTCAAAGGATTCTGTTTTGTTTTTCATGGAGCATATACTGATTTTATGGATTGAACATCATTCGTGGTTGTTATGCTTCTCAGTAAGGCTGAGAAGCCTTACTTTTCCTTGACGGGAGCACTTAAAGTGACATCACTGGCCGTGCATGCACATTTGCGGTGTCACTTCATGAACTGATTTATCAAGTGAAGCTTTAGTTGCTACGAATGTTTTGAGTTTCTCTTAAAAACGAGCTGCTTCAGCTGCTCCATAATTTTCTTGGCAAATACAAATGGGGAAGGCAAACAATGAGCCTACCCGTATGTACTGACACGTTGTGCATGGTTTGAAGGTTTTGGGGGACGTCTATGCCGTAATGACTGAAATATAATGCAAGTTTTTCCCGCATTTTGATACTCAAAGTCCCCTCTCGCTTTACAATTGTGGCAGCGTCACAATAGAGTAAATATTGTATGCCCTTTTCATCCTTGTCATAAGCAATAGTTTATTTTACTATGCGTTTTATGCTTTGAACACTGTACTGCCCTCGATAATTGGTGGAATAAGTTTAGCTTTTTTAAGAAACGTCTATTTGGCTGCAGCTAACTTTTCCAGAAAGCTTCTGTTACTCACATTGTGAGGATCTTGACACTTGTTCTGTGGATCGTCGATGGCATTCCTGTAATGCTTATAAGCCGCAGAGTTGCACTTATTGCGTTACATGTAATCGATTACTAGAAATCAATCACATTTTTTTGGTAAAAGTGTGATGTAATCTAATATTTTTTTTCAGAACTATGACATTCTGCATATTCAAATGATTTTTTTTGTAATTGATTATCAGTAAACAACTCTTGTTTTCTTCCTAAACCAAGTTGTAACTATAGCCTTCTATAGCAGTTCTAATCCCTCAATACCATCAATAACTTTGTATTGACACACCTACACATTGGACTGAATCACAGGATTAGACGAGATGTCCCCATCGAACCTTTCTTTTTATTCTCCTTTTGCTTGGCCTTACCTGCCACGCCTTCGGCCAGCGCAAGCAGCGGCAAGGTGGGACGTGGTACGTTTCACAGAGTACATGGACACTAGCGCCGAAGCACTGAGCAACCACTAGCTTATGCGCAAGGTGTTAGTCCCCTGCAACACTGCCCTTCTCTCCAATACAAGCACTGAGAGAGCGTTCAATGTAGCTGATAATAATAATTACTGGGCCTCATAAGGAAAACTCTAGCGAAATTTCGATATTCACCGCTTTCAATGAAACTTTGAAGTGTGTTCTCGTCAGTACCATTGGGAAATACGCCAAATTATACAGCCTTAGTTATTTAGTTGTTTTTTTTTGTTTAGAAAGGGTATTTTAAATATGGGCAACCACCTCTGGAACCGCACTTGTGAACGCGGGCCACATTGTGTATGTGTTGCGAGCGCCTACGGTTTTTTTTTTTTTTCGGAAGCCCGCATTGCCCAGCAAACGAATGCAGGACGTACTTCTTCCTACGAGGCGACAACAACGCGAGCACAGTTCAGTTTGATCAGCTGCTACAGCGTGTCGTTGGCGCCGGGTTTCACACGTCGATTCGGGGCACACCAGACGCTTCATGCACCGCTGTGTGGAAATCAGAAGACGATGCTTCGGAGCTCAGATAATCGCTGCAGTCACCGGTGAACTTGTCGCGGGTAGGTTCATATGAGCTGGCGCAGCTTTATTCTGCGTCGGATGACATCGTCAACTTGACTTTTGCGTGTCACAAGAGGCATGTGAGCTATCCTAACACCCTAGCCCACCGTGGCGCTGTGAAGCGGATTCAGTGACGACATCCAATATCCACCATGGAGGATGGTGCAGCTCCAGTTTCGGTTTCTGTTTGAACTCGTATTTCATCGCTCAATTAAAATTATTGGTGAGTGTTTAGGCAAAATGAACCATCCTACCTGTTGAAGGACGGCTGATACTTTCTTTAAAGCGGCACTATCTCAGTGTGGTAGGTATGCGCCGGAGTTGTCCTTTAATGTCCGAAAACCAGGATATAATGATTACGTGGAAGGCTAGGGTTAGCAGGTCAACACTTAACGAGAAAACGTGGAGTAACCAGCGACGACGACATTTAAAAACAACTCCTGTTGAAAGTTAACAACGTGTAGCATTATATCACAGGAAGCCTCCCAGTCTTCACGCTAGCTACGGTAGGAATGAAATTCTTGTATTGTTTTACAGCAATAAAGTTTTGAAGCCAAGTTCCGCAAAAGTGATCAATTGCATTCATTTAATTGCTCGATATTTTTGTCGTTGTAATTGACAAACGCAATTCATCACAGTTTAAAGAAAAGAATTGCAATTGTAACTGGTTAGATATTTTTGTAACGTGTAAGATTCTGAATGAAGTTGGCACTATGGTTCGCGAATTCATTTATCCAAGAATATGGGCTTAAACAGAGACTGCAATTTTCTTCCTGGTGCTACGGCTGCTAACAGGGCTCTTCAGTTTCACCCAGTTACATTGCATCGTTTGCTATTCTATGAATAGTTCAGCACTACAATGCCATCGCCGATGACATTGCCGATGGCGCTTCGCCGATGATATTGCATTGCTGAGTAACTCAGGGGACGAATTGCAACTCATGATTACAGGGTTAGACAAGGAGAGCAGAAAGGTGGGTCTTAAAATGAATCTGCAGAAAACGAAAGTCATGTACAACAACCTCGAAAAAGAGCAGCACTTTGAGATAGGTAATAGTGCACTTCGAGTTGTAAAAGACTATGTCTGCCTAGGGCAGGTAATCACCGTGGAGCCGAACCAAGAGATTGAAGTAACTAGAAGAATAAGAATGGGCTGGAGCACATTTGGCAAGCACTCTCAAATTATGACAGGTAGATTGCCACTATCCCTCAAGAGGAAGGTATATAACAGCTGTATCTTGCCGGTACTTAGCTACGGAGCAGAAACCTGGAGACTTACAAAGAGGGTTCAGCTTAAATTGAGGACGACGCAGAGAGCAATGGAAAGAAAAATGGTAGGTGTAACCTTAAGAGACAAGAAGAGAGCAGAGTGGATTAGGGAACAAACAGGGGTTAAGGATATCATAGCTGAAATCAAGAAGAAGAAATGGACATGGGCAGGGCATGTAGCGCGTAGACCGGATAACCGCTGGTCGTTAAGGGTAACTAACTGGATTCCCAGAGAAGGAAAGCGGGTTAGGGGGAGACAGAAGGTTAGTTGGGCATATGAGATTAAGAAGTCTGCGGGTATAAATTGGCAGCGAGCACAGGACCGGGTTAACTGGCGGAACATGGGAGAGGCTTTTGTCCTGCAGTGGACGTAGTCAGGCTGATGAAAATGATGATGACAGTGCCATCGAAGTATAAACAGCTGCCGCAAAGATGCTTTCTAGGAGACTTGATGAGGCAACGGAGCTAGGAGGTTGACAGTGTCTGTATATACATACACAGTTAAAGAAAACACGTTATATAGAATTTAAAGCATTGGTCTACATCGTGTGAGTGTCACCAGACGCGTCTTGCTTCACAAGCAAGCACATTGAAAGGGAGCGCTTATTGGGAAGAGTTACTCTGCGTGAGCTCTTCCCAATAAGCACCTCTGCACACTAAACATCATTTTGTGAAACATTATGCTGAAGGATGCAGAACGGAGTTATAGGAGAGTGAACTGGACAACACAGTGTTTTTTTCTAGCATTTTATTCAAAATAGATATCGTAATCTCATACACACAGATACCATACACACAATAAAAATAATGAAATATCGTTCGCTCATTGGTATGAAATGGCTTACGAAATTATCATTGATCAGCCTTTTTTTTTAATCTATAGGGTAGGTACAAACGCACGCACACGAGATACGCATATCACGCATAACAAGATATTGCGATGATACAAAATATGATATTTACAAGCGAACACTACGAACAAACACATCTGATGAAACATTTGGTGCTTTGGCTTATCGCACACAACTAGGATTCCAGATAACGCTGACAACAGGCTGCAGTTAACACTCCAAGCATCCAGCGTTGTGAAAGCTAAAATGTACTAAGCTGTGGAACCCCCTGCTATTAAACACGGGCTTGCCCCCGAACACTCGCCTACGATGATCTGAACCTAATAAAAACAAAGAAGGTGAACTACCATGGCCACAAGTACCCACAGCTTCATTAGTTAAAAATTTCACATTTCAGAATGCCTGTTGTGAGCTCTTGGTTACCTCACATCTAATGATTACATAATCAATTAGCCTTGCTGGTGCGTTTTCCTGACTTTCAAACAGTTCAGCAACTTTCCAGAGCTCTATGCTGTTTTCCAACGAAGAGCTGTCAACCCATAACCTGAGCCCATGAAAAAAAAAATTGACCATCTACATTTGAATTAAAAGCTGACGCAGTAAAATAATTAAAGACTACATAATATGTTACCGAAGTTGTGCTACTGAATCGTCGAAATAAATATTGTGTTTAAATTCAGATTATGTTGCAGCCAGATGAACATTTCGAACGACAGCAAGATGAACAGATACCTAATATAGGCGCTACGGGCATGTCACATGCTTTAATGGATATTTCTGTAATCGAATAGCTGTATATTGGTTTAACAAAAATATAAGGCTGTAAATGAAAAATTATCGAACACGCAGCCAGTGCAACAGTAAGGGTGTCACTGTTTATAAACAATAAGAGTAAGCATACAAGCCACATACCTGCAAAGGTTTACCTCCTGAGCTGTGCTATAAAATTAAGGTGTCTCACAAAAGAAATATTTGCACACTGCCTTTCACCACCTTGTTGTCTTTTTCTTTCGGTTACGTATGGCACAACGCTTCCAATGCAACAGACCTACTACTGTCATACCGTGACCATTTTCATTCCAACACCTTCTCGACCTGGTCCAAACTAAGTCACTTTTTCGCCAACAAAACTAAGATCGAACGTATCTTATCAAGTCTCTAATCACCATTTGCACAAGTATCTCCCGAAAGTTCTCTCGCGGCTGTCACGAAATGTTTTTCTGCAGACACAGCTCAGGTAGCCTAGCGCCGTGACAGGGTGCAGAAACACCCAAGCGGTGTCCTTGCAACGCCGGTGAAAAAAAGCGAGCGCTTCCACGTCCAGCAGAAATTGAACCACCACGAAGCCCAGAGGGAACACCAGTTCGCGTTTTCCGGACCACGACACTCCTTCTTCTCACGTCCGATGGAAGGCGATGGCGAAAAGCATCGACGCCAGAGCGGTGGCCGATGAGAGCGGACCCGTGGAGGCCGAAGACTCGACGAAGTTGTCGAGCGGTCGCAATGGCTTGCCAGGACGCTTCTCTGGGACCCGCTTGGGCGTCGGCTTTTGCTTGGGAGCTGGCGTCGTGGGTGCTGATTGCCTGCGCCGGGCAACAAGAAAGCCAATTCGTGAGCGTGACGTAGAATAGGCCAGTCGGTACGGATTCATTGCGGGCAACAGCGTGATTAAAACGGAGTAAGACGAGAGGTGAAGAAAGAAAAAGAACAACGCTTCGCTGTGACCACCTTCGTACGTGCTAATCTTGTCGCTGGCCAGAGGCCCACAGCGGACGATTATAATAGCCGAATGTGTCTTTCTCATTTATTTACAATAAAAATTTAGAATATTACAATAGAAACACACGCGAAGTCGAAAAAAAATAATATGGGCGCTGTCTCACAACCATGCAGGATATGGAAAGTCTTCTGAAGAAGTCATAATCCCCGACGTACCCGAAGTGCGTTAGCACACGTCTCCTCAACCAATATTATTTCGAATATATATGTTAACCATTTGCTTGTTAATCCTTGAAGCTACAGCTTCAAATTTACGCCATAAGTTTTGCTAGGACGACTAAATAAATACGGCAATTCACATGCAGTCAGGTTCTCTTGGACGATTGAACCAATTTCGCGCCACCTTTGTTTTCGTGTAAACGCGAAAGAATGAACAGTACTCCAGCTTAATTTGCTGCAACAAACCCAATTACGCCAATACGCTCCTTTCTTTAAAAAACAGCGGAGTTAATCTCTCTTTTTCTTTGAGTTTCGCTCACTATAGGAGGTCGGGTATTTCAATGTCCAGAAAAATACTGCAGGAGGCATAAGTATTTCATCGAGAAATTTTCGCCATTTGAAATTCTCATACATTGCGCTAAAAAAAGTATAGTGGCTGCCTTGTCAGATAGCACGAGCAAACTTCATTCCTCTTTTTTATATTATTAACACTAAACACAACAGGCAGGCTTACATATTCATTTTAAGCGCATTACTTTGTATGCGTCCGTTTTCCTCCTTTCTCTTTTTCTCTGTCACTCAACTTTTGTCATACCTTTCTTCGCGTTAGACGCGACTTCAGTCAACTATCCAGCTTTGAAGGGGCTTCCGCGATCGTTTTAGAAATCCATGTGCTAATGCTCAACACGACTGAGCGTACGAGGTGTGTTTATATTCAGTAATGAACGCGGAAGACGACAATGCCTAATGCACAAGGTCAGGCCATAGAAAAGTCAGGCTACTGTTTTGCAATGCTGACTGCGTACTTTGTAAATGAGCAAAAAAAAAAAAAGCAAAGGCGTTGGGAGAAGTAACATGATAATGCGGCAACAAAGGAACGCGCCGTTACATCCGCAATCATACACACAATGTCATTTCAAACTTTTGAAAACATTCACTTCAAGCTCTAGTGCGGCAACGTTGGAACGTTGAGAGTTTTTTTTTTTTTTTGTCTTATGAAATATTTCCCACGACAGGCTAATTTTTTTAGCATCAAGGCTGCGTAGAAGGACGCACAATTTTTCAGAAAGCGACCGCAATTAGCAAATTTACGCTGTAGCAGGACGACTATAAGTGTTTCTAAGCAAGATGCATAATGACTGGCTAATTAAGGTCACGCACAGTGGTGAGACTAGTGATATCTTTTTTTTCTTGGTTCACAAAGCATCTCTCCGCACGCTGGTCTGCCATTGTCCCGGAACCGAGCACACCACACGCTACAAAGCTTTCCATAACCGCTTTATTTCCTTGTTTAGCCAATGTCAGAGATCCGTTCTTCAAATAAGCATCGAAAAGAGCGCGCCTGCTTTCTTAAAAAGCGTTCGCTACCAGTCGTTCATCTCAATCTGAGCATCGAATGCTATGTAGCGTGTTGAAAGACTCGATGGCTAGCCAAGTCACTTCGGAAGGCGGCTATTAACATTTCTTTATCCTTGGATAGCCGCTACCGAACAAAATCTTCAATTGCTATACAATACAATCCGGTCAAAATTACAAGGATCCACAAACGTGGGTCTTATTCGCTTCTTGCTGCGGGAAGCGACCAAAATTATTATATGATTTGGGTAACACCCTCACAAAAACTGCAGAGAAGTATGCGCAAGGTTCCCAGTATACGTGACAATGGACAAACCCGTATGCCGTGGTAATAAGCTTGCGATCCTGAATTTCTTAGACGCCTCTTGCAACGAGCGCTGTACCTCGTCAAAACATTTGCTTCGAAATTGCAAGATATGATATTAAGACGTCTTTCTGATGCGCAACCACTCATAGAAATTTTAGTTAAGCGTGAGAACTCCCGAAAAAACAATTTCCCAAAGAACAGGTGACGTGTAGACTGCCCATTGGTCAACGTCACGAAATATTGTGAATGACAAGAGCTAGATCTGCCCAAAGATGACTAACGCGTTTTCACATTGGGAAATACTTTTGTGACTCGCAGGTACAGGTGGGTTAGGCGCGTTAAATATCAACTCCTTCTCTGTCAGCCATTTATAAACAATATCACAAATACGCAGAAGCTGCTTGTTCCGAGACAACGCATTTGCATTCTGATTCTGGCCTATGCACAGAAGTGAATATGAGAAAACACGAGCAAAAGCTATCCGCTGTTCCTAAATTATTTTGCACTTCGTTTGCCCGTCTTGAGACGATGAAACAGTTAACGCGCAGCGAAACATTTAAAAAAGCCTTGAGAACAACTAGTATTCTGTGACGAGCCTTGGCCGAGATTCTTCAAAGGTGTTTATATGAATACAATTTGCTAGTAGAAGTGCTTGATTATAGTTGTTTCCAAATGATGGCGAAAACAGCTATAGAATGGTCGTCGCCCTTCGCACAAAGGGTGGGCGTCTGTTGTCATTTCACAGCTCCCTATACATGATGGTTGCCGCAGTAAGCTTCAGATCTGATACGGTGGCACATGCTCACCTTTCCAAAAAGTTTGAAAGTGAGCTATCGTAAAAACGTATATCACTTTAGCCGAACGAAGGATCGTTTCCAGACACCGTTTCAAGTGTCTTTCAGCTCGGTTAACTCAGACTCTGATGAAATTATGCTGATTCAGTTTGTTTTACATAGCTACGTACCACAATAACGTAGCATTTTCTCCTCAATATCAACCCTAAATAAAATAGCCTGCCTGTGTGCATTACCTCGATCAGCCACACTTCAAGTTTGAAGATTACTATCGATAAACCCCAGCTATCAAATAGCCCAATCTAGCTCGTTTGCTGTTTTCTGCCCGTGCCTTACGTAATGTTCTCATCACATCACCTGAAAACCAGAATAAATTTATCGCATTATTAAATGGTACAAGAATTTCTAAACTGCCCACTGAGGATACCCTTATAGAGATCTTATTAACCTTAATATATTATTCAGGTAAAGTAACTTTCATGTTCAATTCAGGAGTTTAGGGTGTGTTGGTGCTACAAAGGGCCCAATAAGTTGATTTATGCTTTCTCACCAACGTAGGAAATTACGATTTCTCCACCAATTTCTTATCATTCGTTTTAAGTTCCAATATCGGCTGCAACCAAACGCAATATATGTACGCTTGAAAGATACCGTGATTTAAAAGTATACACTCACTTCTTGATAAGGTATGGCTCCCAGAGGTGGCATTTCTTGGATCTGGGTCCGTACGCAACGCTGTAGTCATTCGGCTTGAGTATGACGTACGCCTTGTTCTCTTTGGTGTACTTGGGCCACTCCATGTCACTCTTTGGGATCTTTGGTTTTCTGCATCACAGAGACAAGGAAGAAGATCAGTTTTGGAACTCGCCGCAAAACAGTGACGTGTGCCACAAAGAAATATAACAAAGTTCAGACTTTTCATAAAATAATAGCGTTCAGGAGAGCAACATAACATAGGAAGCTGCGTTTTCTTGGAACCATTTCACCTGGTGCAAACATGGTGGCGCAAAGTGCCATGAATTCTTTAGTTGTACTCGTTTATGTGGTTCTGGTTTATTAACAGTCGCATACGTATAATAAAGTAGGCTGCATTAGACTTCGCTAGCCCAATACACAGTTAGAAAGGCTCTACTTCCCACTTCTCTGGAAGTTCATATCCAGATTGCACAAAAAAAAAAAACACACACACACAAGGCATACATTACCCATTCTGTATCACGTGACATGCTCAAACGCACATCTTAGCTTTGCAGAGTAATATCTTACTTCATCTCGTTCCCGCATCAGCCATTCATTCATGTGTCTTGCCATTCGTTCGATGGCGTTTGCTCCAGTCATTCAACTGCCTTCCACATTGTTCGAGTGAAGATATTAAAAGCGCTAATATGTGGGGTGCAATGTTTCAAAAGCTCAAGCGAAGTGAGTATATTTCTGAAGCGAGCTCTATACCGACCTCGTCGGCTACTCATGCAACACAGAAACAGCTTAGGCAGCCCGTACTCACTACAATATCTGTTTTTCCGAGCCGTCGGGCAGTGACACGAAAGCCATTACAACGCTCGATGCCTACCTATTTACGGTGGGTACAAGGATAATAATACATATTGCTGGTCATTGACACAAAACACCCGGGTACGCCAGAAATACACGAGAAGCCGACGTCAACGTTCCCAATCTATCCCACTTTAACACGAAGAATCATCATCAACGCTCAATTGCAGTGTCCGAGAATATGCGCTTTGACGAAAGGCCTCACTACACTTTGTTTCAACGAAGCAGATTGAAGAGTTTGCTCAGTTTCACTTGTGTTACGACAACAAACACGGTGGTTTTATGGAGTGAACTTGTCCGCTTTCGGTGAATCAGCATTCTGTCACGTTACGTCATTCGGTGACGTATTTCATAGCATTCCAATGGAGCGTATGCGTTGGGAAACCACGTAACAATGCAATTCAGAGGAACCAATGACGTATTCGAAGAATTGCTGTGAATTGCAGGACCCCCCCCCCCCCCCCAATAAAAAAAGCAACGAAAAAAACTAGACAGACAAGGCCCGCAATCATGCTCAAGGAAACCCTATGAAATGTCTATGCGCCTTGCTTTGGGATACCCCTAACGAGAACAAGGCTGATGCAACCACGAGCGCGGCATTCAGCGGTTATTCCAAGGCGAGCTGCACGCACTGCCCTGAGAAAAGGTACGAATTAAGGAGAGGGGCCATAGAGCAATTAGTGAATGGGTCGGCAAGTGAGACGGTCGACGTAGGCGCGCGAAGCTATGGAACCCCCCTTGCAAGCGAATTTCCAACATGCGAAGGCGAGCAAGTTCGTCGCATTGAGGGGGTGCGAGTGCAGCCGTTCACCTTCGTTGGCTGCAGCGAGGCCCAACCACAGTAGACAGACCAGCTGGGGCCACCGAAAACCAGCGCTGGTTATAAACCATGCATGTTTCCGGTTCTTTAATTAACGCTTTCTTGCTACAATGTTTCCATACCCAGCTGATGGGATTTCCAATTGCGCTTTTGCACCACATTAAACACTGGTCCCGGTTAACAAACCGCCGAGCCCGGTAACCTGAGAAGCCGTTTCCGAAGTTTTTTTTTTATACAATGAGGTATAGAAAAATCAGACCATTGGCAAGTTCACTGCTGCTGCTTCCTCTAATTCATGCGTGTATATAAAAACGGTATACTTCAGCTGTGTTGTTTTCGTGGCACAAACATTACGTGTAACACTCAATTGTATTTCACAATTTAAATTGTTGAGAGCGCGCGAAATGTAAATACATGAAGCTCCTATTTATGAAAGCTGGTGCACAAACTAGTTATTTCTGTATTAGTTTGTTTAGCTATGAAAGCTGGTTTAAGTAATGCTTCAATTCTCGAAATTCGTTCGCGGATTGACAAATGACTTAGTGGAGGACAAATGCTGACCATTGAAATTTGTTTCAACCGGTAACAGTGGTGCGCAAAGAGGGGGCCGCTGATGAAATGCGTGGCTCCTGCTCGCCAGTTCGACTCACCCAGTCCAGGAGAATTCAGCCAGTGCTTTGATGAGCTCGTCAGAAAACGTCAGTTCCTCGGGTGTCGACAGAGGCTTTCTTCGCAACAGTTCACCGAAGGAGTCATTCTGATTTTGCAGTGTTTGGTTGTCCACTCTCAAAGTACCCAAGAAAAATGGAAAGTCGTCGTTGTGGGTCACGGTCACCCAATCTCCCCAGAAGCTGTAGGATGGCCTGTGGTTGAACACATAACGAAAGAGGGACACATTTTCCCTTAGAGCTGCCAGCGCGAACAAGTCCTCAGCGCAGATGAAGAACAGGTCCGTAATTACTGCAGACAATGCTTTGAGGACCTCCACTTCAGAAAGTTCCGGGGCACTGCTGAAGTATGCATTCTCGAACTGCAAGCTATTGGACGAACTGATACTGAAAAAGTTGCGTAGAAAGACCCTGAGTAAAGTACGGCCATCGATGGCGCCTTTGAGCCCCTTTAACTTGGCGAACATGGCACTAACAATCACTGCGCCATCGTCCGGCGTGGTGCCGAAAAAGATGTCTTTCACATGAATCTTGGCCTTATCGAGATCAATAGGGCTGTGAGGAAGAAACGAGTCGCCGTAGCCAGGAAGAATAGTGATGTACCGATAGGTCATGCTACTCTCAACGTCGTGAACCAGTTGCTGAGCGTCTACCTTCCGAAGGCAGTCCAAAGAAGCATCAATCTTCTCTTTGCCAGTGAGATAGAAATTTGTACAATTCATTGCCGCAGAGATTGCTTGAAAGTTTTCATGCTGGTCAACTTTATCAGCAAAGGCGAGGGTGGACGGAGTGCCACTTAGGAGCACAGCCCGCTGAAAAAGACCTCGACTCAACTCGGATATCGCGTGGTACGAAACAGAGACAGCGCCAGCGCTCTGTCCTGCCAGGGTAACCGCACCGGGATCACCACCGAACGCGCGCAAGTTATTATGCACCCAACGAAGAGCCTCCAGCTGGTCGTACAAACCCATGTTACCTTCTGCTCCAGGCACTGAAGCATTGAGGAAACCTAGCGGGCCAAGCCTGTAGTTCAAGCTCACGAAAATGACGTCGGCACGTGCGGCGAACTCAAGTCCGTCGTAGAGAAACAGAGAACTTGATCCCCAAGAGAAAAGACCTCCATAGATGTATACAAACACTGGAAGGGCATTCTTGCAAGAACTAGTGGTGGTGGCGTTTTCGCTTTTGCCGTCACAGTCACCCCTGGGTCGCCACACGTTAAGCCTGAGGCAATCTTCGACAGTGTTCGACGCGTCAATCTTGACACCCTCCGTGACAACGAAGTCCGTTTGAACGCAGCCTGGGTTCATGGTGTCCGCTCGGAACACGCCGCTCCACGGAGCCGCGGGCAGCGGTTTCATAAATCTTCGCTCACCGACCGGAGGTTGACCGTAAGGAATGCCCAGATAGGCATCGACGTCTCGGCCGTTGGCGCGCAGTCTTTTGCCCACAATGTCACCGGCCGTGGTTCGGACCACGGGTGCATCTTCAACCACGCCTTCTGCCGATGATGCGACGTAGATAGCCAACATGAGGAGCAAGCCCACCTTTAGCGCCATGTGATGTCTTCTTGATGCGATGTGCACAGATGATTTTCTTCTCAGGCCCGAAACCTACCTCCGGCCTTAAAGGAGAGGGAGCAGACAGGCGCACGAGCCTGTTTTTATAAAAAGAACACGCAAACGATAGGGAGAGCTATCGGAGACGGGCACGCAAGCTTCAATGTCAACTCTCGGCGGCGACGGCGACCGTCAGGTCGCAACGATCCGCAGCGAGAAGGTCACAGTGAATTAGAATAGCAAAGTCCGCACCCACAGGAGCGTCACTTCACACGGAGAGCAGGTTTTAGCCGTGTTTCATACAGAAAGGTACCCGCCCCACGTGGCGGTATATATATAAGCAACTCTCTCTCTCGCCCGCTATCTCACTCCCTCTCCTGTGCCGAAGGCTTGGGAATGTTGTGATGCCCCTTCAGCGCAGTCTCCAGTGGCCCTTCGTCGCAGCCAGCCTGCCCGTTGCCCCTCCGTCAAGGATGAACGTAGTCAGTGGCCAGCTGCGTGCCACTAGAAGGACAGGGGATGAAACTGCTGGCCTTCAACCAAAGAACAAGTCACGTCGAATGATTGCTTCAATTCCGTGCAGAGATTTATAGAAGTCGTCCCTTTAACGTTTTGCAATTTCACAACCTGCACTTTAATAATAGAATACGAAAAAGAAATCAGAACAAAGATAACGGAAGGGAGGGGAGAGGTGGGGGGATGTGAAGACGGATTCGTACAATAGATAAGCCCCTAGGATTTCTTTTTACACATATCTACTATGAAGCAACGTTCTCGCAAGCACGCACACACACACACACACACACACACACACACACACACACACACACACACACACACACACACACACACACACACACACACACACACACACACACACACACACACACACACACACACACACACACACACAAAAAGCACTGTGAGCGCGCAAATGGGTTGTGTTACAGCTTCGAATTCTTCGACTCTTCGGTGGCATGTTGCAATTTGGAAATTCAGAAAGTAAGCTCTGTCACGCTGCGTTCACGGTAAAAGCAGTTTCAGACGAAAGTTTCGTAAGAAACTGTGCTCCGTCCGAAGACTTGATCGCAACTAAGTGCGAACGCTCATGGCTTGTGTTATAAAAGTATATTCTCCGCTCGGTTATTTCCCGTGCGGAGAATAATAAAAAACCTGACTGTTTAGTGAAGAAGCTTGGTGAAACGAAGATCATCGTTACACCCGTACGAGTTGAGTCTAGGTGGGATATCTTGTGCCAATCTATTGCACGTACATCGCGAAGCGCCGTCAACAATCACCAAAGTTAAGGATGTCTGTACACACACAAAAATGTATAAGTAAGACATTAGGTTATACTTAGCGCAATGAAACAGAAGAACGAGAAGGGAGGGCACAACACGTGGCGAACATGTTCTGTCCTCTCTTCCCGTTCTTTTGTTTCATTGAGCCCAATATTAGTCAATGTCTTACTAACAAAGCCGGGTTTTTCCACTTGTGCAGAAATTTTATAGATTGCCGTTTTGAAACTCACCTATCTGTCTGTATTTGTAAAGCAATGCCCTTTTTTTAGGTTGAATTCATACGCGGAGCGGAGTCATTCTCGCTTATTGAACTGTCGCTAGCTGCAGTATTGATTGATTCACTGACTGACTGACTGACTCATTGATTGATTTATTGACTCTTCAAAATCCTTTGCACAAACTTCGTGTGTGTCTTTATCGATGTACCAGTGTGAATATTAGGTGTAAAGTTATGACTCATCTTTCAATATTCATATGCGTGACACACTTCGGGGGAAGCCCCGCCGGTCTAATAGCGGCGTGCCGCAGACTCGCAGGCTTCCGCTTTACGTTTAGGCCTGCGACGCCTGACAGGCCTCCAATTGGTACATTTTGAATTTATTTGCAGGCCGGTTGATCTGTGCAGGGTTGCACGTGTGGGGATGATTGGGTCTCACTGACGCACGCATAAAGCAAACACCGATCTCCCTTAAAAAAAAAAAACGACAAGCACTCATTTGCAGCAAGTGCAATTGGCAGGAGTTAACAAAATCTAAGAGGACAAACACAAATATGCGCGATGAAAATGACAACTTCTAAACAAACTATGCTCTAAAGTAACCCTAACAGTACAAATATACACTACGCGGTACGTTAATAAAATAATTGGACATGATGAAAACTAAGAGAGATACAAAGAAGTATTATCGAAAGGTCGGACTTTCGAATCAGAGCTCCTGCTGTGGTGCAGGGCATACTAAAACATCCTTTACAAGCTGGGTGTAATAAAATAACGGTTTGAAAAAAATCAGAATAAAAAGTTCCACACGGACAAGACTACCTCGTGGTACAGGTAGGGGAGTAGATGGCGCACCGCTGAAACTCTCGCCAGCTTATTAGGCGACGGGGGTTCCCGGTGTTGCAGCCTTCTCAATACGTTCCGCGGGACCGTCCGTGCTCGCTGCTTGCGCCAGACTCGTGACATCGACGATCACGCTTTTCGCTGGTTGAACGTCAACTACCGAAGCAGTCAAATTCTCTTCGGGGCGTACGCATTTTCCTAGAGGTCATTTTCCTCGAACACATACGTGCCCCCCTTCGCTACAGGTGTAGAGAAGATGTGACGGCAACGTTGCCAATTCTTCAGTTATCGGGGAGTTGCTCGGAGTATTTTAAGCTGGACGGTTGTGACGCCCGCGACCTCCGACGTCAGCGTAGCTCTCGCCGACTCGTTCGTACTCCACGGCCTCCTGACGCCGTGCTCTCGCTGTGTGGTGCCCCGTCCTCTAACTGCTTCGACCGGCTCCTAAATTTCATATTTCCTTCTTTTAAATACGATAGTCTTTCTTGGGGTACTTCGACGCAAAAACGTTAGTCTGTCTGTCTATCTGTCTGTACCTTTACCCTTTTGTCCGCCGCAACGATACCCTAACAGCGCCATGCGATACCCCAAACGGCCAACCCCATCCGCAGCGCCCACCAATAATTGCTCAAGTTTCAGCGTTCTTACTTGAGTGATTGTCAATTAAACAAACGTCGTCGAAAGACGATAATCTTGCGTGTGGAGAGAGTAAACAAAACGCTTATTTGATGTTCTGCGTGAGAAAATCAGTGAATTGTATTCTGGAAGCGCTGCGTTAGAGAGTCTCGATCCGTGCAGAAGGCGAACGAACGCACTGAGGATTAGATGTATCCGGCTGAGCCCTTTAGATTGGGCGGTGGCTCCCGCCACCTAGCACGTTAGACACGAACGCCATCTGGCGGAAGGCGTGAGCGCCCGCGGTGAAAGGTGCGCGCCTGTCTCAGAAGCGATAAGGAGTAGAACGCAAAACGACGGACAGGTGCCACCACCGCGTCGTCTTAGCAAAGCGTTGGAAACACTTGCCTTTTGTAGCGTTAGCTACACTGGCCTCGCTGGGCCGATTTCGCGTGACACTGGTCTGCGCATGCGCAGTGATATCCCGCCGCCGCCACGCGCAGCTCACCGCCGGTGTGCGCGCAATTCGATGCGCTACGTGGACGCTCAGTGGTGTCACGCACCGGAGCCGGCACCTCCCTCGCAATCGGCCGTGGCCGCGCGCGACTCGCCGCCGCCGGTGTGCGCTTTCCGGAGGAGTGCCGTCATAGCCTTGGTAGACATATGGACGCCGACGCGCGCGCCTTCCCTGTGCAGTCGCCATCTGTCACTGCGCTGGAGCCGCTTGATAGCACCTCTGACTGGCGTTTCCCACTGTGGTATAGCCATGGAGAAGGAGAGTGCAAATGCTGCTGAACGGTGCAGTAGAGCGGAGAAGCTTAACTTATCAAATCCCGAAGTAGTTGCCCGGCAAAATAAATATACATGTGCCACATAACACCTATACCGTGTGTGTGTCATTGGAACAGCTGTAAGCATGATATCTGGAAAGCTAAGAATAATCAGCTGAACCTTTGCTAACGCTACGTATATCCTGGCATAGCTGAGCTAAGCCACTGCCATTTTTTGAGCGTCGCGTTACACTGTCAGCGCAGCGTGATAAATGCCACGGTTTTTAGAATTACTTGTGTGTGCCTTGTCTGGTGTAAAGGCATATATATGCCTCACTATCCTCATTCCCACTATCCTCATTCCCTAACGCCAATCTTCGCAAGGACTGATACTTTTCGGTACTCCTTCTTCCCACAAACAATACATGATTGGAATAAACTAACCGAAGCATTTCCTCAACGCCCTTGACCATTTGTGTAAATACTCTTCTTCCATGACTTCCTTGAATGGTATTATCACCTTGTTGTTCAACTGTTACTTTTTTTTAAAGCCATAACCCCTCTGTCTTATAGCAAAGAAATTGTGTAAAAAACGCTTTGCAACCTTGTTTCATTCTGTTATTTAGCGTTTCATGTATGCTCACCCTGCTTGGACTTTTTGTCTGCAGTATTCTATAAATAAATAAATAAATAAATAAACATATAAAACATCGACGTGTTGTTATGGTGCCTCAGATATGCGTCTTTCCTTCATGTGTTCGTCCGATTGCATGCGCAACGACACATACCATAGGGTTAGTGTCATACAAAGTGCACTTCAATATAGCTTCGACATACAGTCGTCGAAGGCTAATGCATAAGAGACATCGAGCGCCATTTTTTAAATGAAAATTTGCATTTCCTAGCGAACTTCAGTGACTTTGACCGTATCTACCTGTCTGTCTACGCGTCTATCTAGCCGCCTATACGACGTTTAGCTCTCCTGGCCATGGGATCTATACCAAAACTGGTGTGACACAAAATGACTGTACGACGAGCATAAGTGACTAGCCATAACATGAAAATCATGACATGTATGTCATGAATGTCATGATTTAAATGTCAAGCTCTTGCTGTTGTTGCGGTGGTCTAGTTCACATGACATATTGCAAAACTGGTATGGTAGGACGTGACGGCATGATGGACACAAGTGAAAGGCCCTAACGTGGAAATGCCCACGAATACACGCCACGCTGATTGTACGCTCACAGTCGTTTCGCTCACTTCACATATACCAAGTACGGTATTACGGGATGTGAATGGATGACCAATGTATGTGACTGGTGCAAGCACGATAATCATGACATGCGCGTCACGTAAGAATATGACTACATGCCACGCTCATAATGCGCTCGCGGCCATTTGGCTAGCTTCAGATATGTCAAATTTGCTGTTACGGGACGTGAATGAGCGGCGAAGCTAAATGACACGTCCAAGCGTGACAGTCGTGATATGCGTGCCATTTAAATCACGACTACACGCTATGCTCATAGCGTGCTCACGGAC